ATGTGGCATGGCTCATAATGAGAAATAGCTGCAACAATAAAAACTAGGACATGTTAGGTATTGCTGAGTCCATCACATAGCAATCTGAACCCTGTCCTGTCCTCATCATCTCAGACACACTGGAGCCCACTGCTGCACTCACTGTGTCAATCTATCTAGCTGAAGTTCTCTTTCATCCCGCTTCACCTTTCCCAGGATGATGTCCCTCTCCAAGGAATATCCTGTCCTAGCAACACACTCTAACTATGTGAGATGATGCTTTGTCATCTTCGCCTCTGAGGAGCACCAGGGTTGCACTTCCTTTCCTGTTTGTTCTTTTGGAACATGGAATGCATGAAATAGAAACCTATAAAAGTTGGAAGTTGTCAAATGTGAAATGGAACACATAGATATTCAATCATTCTTTATGTGAACTGAAAAGGACTGGTATTGGCCATTTTTATTCAGATCTTATAATCTATGTTGGGAATGACAAACTAAACAGGAATGGTGTTGCAGTCACTGTCAAAAAGAACATTTTAAGATCTATCCTAAAATACAACTCTGTCAGTGATGGGACACTATCCCTACACATACAATGAAGACCTATTAATGACCATTATTCAAATACACGTACCAATCACTAAAGCTAAAGATGAAGAAACTGAGGATTTCCACCAACTTCTGAAATTGATTGAACATGCAGTCAAAATACACTAACTGGTGACTGAAATGCATGTATTGGAAACAGAGGACTGGCAGTTGGAAAATGTGGACTTGGTGACAGAATGATGCCAGAGATCAATGTCACAGGATTTCATACCACTGACTTATTAACTATAAATAGCTTTTCCTAAAAGAAACAACAAAAAAACCCAGCAACACACACACAAAACAATTCACACGGACCTCACAGGATGAAATACATAGGAGTCAAATAAACTGCATAAATGCAATGAGACAGTGGAGATGCTCAATATGCCAGAAGAGGTTGAGGCTGACGGTGGAACAGACCACTTATTTATATGGTACAACAAACTGAAGGTAAAGTACGTTAAGTCTATGAGAATGGAAAAAAAAAATGACCTTGAGTTTATCCTACCTGAATTCAGAAACCAATCATGATACCATGAACAGTACCAACCAGAGTAGAGAGATGACATCAAGGACATAATACATGAAGCCAAGGGTCATTAAAGACAGAAAATACAAGACCAAAATAAGTTTCAAGACCCTGTAACTTGTTCTAGAACATGGAGAAGAGAGTTGAATTCAGCTCATAGTAAAAAGTATAAAAAGGATGCACACCCATGTTTATCGTGGCTTTGGTCACAATAGCAAGGAGTTGGAAACAACCTGAGTGCCCATCAACAAACAAATGGATAGAGAAGCTGTGGTATATTCACACAATGGAATACTACACTGCATTGAAAAACAAGGAACTCATGCAGTATTATTCAAAATGGGTGACCTGGAGGACATTATGCTGAGTGAAATATCTCAGTCACAAAAGGACAAATACTGCATGGTGCCACTGTTGTAAAACAGGACTGACCTTGGGGTTGGGGAGAGATTATAAAGATGGGTTCAATAATGTATACTGCATTGAAACAGATGAGGGGGGAAACTGTTTAAAAGCGATATGTCATTAGGTATTTTTGTCATGACAGGAGTCCAGAGTGAAGGCAACATAGTGGAGTGGACCTGGGTGGGGAGGGTTTGTAAAACAATGAAAGAATTTTTCTTTTACTTTTCCAAGAGGGTAGTGTACTATGGGGGACGGTAGGGAGGGGAGAAAAGTGCAACAATGAATGAATGGAAATCCAAAGTCTCTGTAAATTTTTACTGAAATAAAAATTTAAGAAAAAAATGAAGTGAAAAAAAGGTATAAAAAGGAAACGTGCAAAAAATGTGGACTTTTAAAAGGCCCAAATTTTTTTTAAAAAAGGCCAAAATGGCAACCCTAAAAATTCTACAACAAAATATTAAATAATGCATGAAGTATCAAAAGATAGGAGTATTGTACCAAAAAGAACTGGATGACCTTCAATCATCTCAGAAAGCAGCTTAAGAACCAGCTCTGGTGGCCTTGTGGGGAAGCCATGCTGCCAACGCAAATGCAAACAGTTCAAATTTACCAAGTGTTCTGCAGGATAAAGACGGGCTTTCTCCTCTTCAGCCTCTGAAAATCTGCTGTAGGGTCAGCTCTGGATGGATGGCAATGAACTTTACTACTGAAGGTAGCTCAAGCTGTACTGAAGATTGTGATGTGCTTTTGAGTCACCTGCGACTCAGAGACCCTCTGTACAACAGCCCTAAGCCCTGCTCTATCTTGTGCCAATCTTATTGTCTCTGACTCACCTACCCCCATTACCCCAGTCACTGAATCAATCCATCTCAAGGGTTTTCGTCTCCTGCACTGTCCCTCCACCCTCTCAAACATGTCCCTCTCCAAGGACTGGTCCCTCTTTGCAACATGTCCAAAGTATGTCAGTTAAAGTTTCAGAATCCTTGTCTCCAAGGAGTAGCCTGGTTTCACCTTCTCCAGGACTAACTTATTCTCCAGCAGTCCATGCTATATTCAACTCTTCTCCAGCCCCACAGCTCAAAGGCATCAATTCTCTTTCCATCATCCCTAGTCACTGCTCAGCTTTCTAATGCATAGCGAGTATTTGCAAAGACCATGGCCTGTATCAGGTGCACCTTAGTCTCCAGACCAACATCGTTGCTCTTCAGTACTCTGGAGAGGTCTCTGACAGCAGACTTTTCCAATACAATTCGTCTTTTTATTTCCTGGCTGCTAGTACCAAGAGTGTTGACTGTAGAACCAAGCAAACTGAAGCTGTCAGCAATCTCTGCACCATCCATCACGATGCTGCCAACTGGCCCAGTGGTGACAATCTGTTTTCTTGATGTTGAGATTCAATCCATATTGAAGGCTGCAGTCCTTTACCTTCTGCAGCAAGTGCTTCAGGTCCTCCTCAGTTTCAACAAGCAGGGTTGTGTCATCTGCATAATGCAGATTGCTTATGAGTCTTCTTCCAATCCTGACGTCACAATTCTCCTCATAGACCCCAGCCTCTCAAAATGTTTTGCATATAGATTTTAAAGATATGGAGAAAGGACATATCCTTCCCAATTTTGAATCATGCAGTGTTTCCTTGCTCTCTTCTGACTGCCACCTTCTAGTCCAAATACAAGTTTTGCTTAAGCACAATGAAGTGCTCCAGGATTCCCATTCTTCTCAGCCAGCCAGTTGGCTGTGGTCTACACAAATGGCTTTACATAGTCACTGAAACACATTGGAACTCCTTTCAGTCAAGATTCATCTGATATTAGCTATAATATTCCTAGTGCCATGGCCTATTCTAAATCCAGCCTGCACTTCAGGCAGTTCTGTTGATGTGCTGTTCCAGTAGTTTTTGGATCATCTTCAGTAGAATTGTGCTTGCAGGTGATATAAATGATACTGTTTAGTAACTTCCACTCAGAAAAGACCAATAGAAACGTTTGAACAAATGGATGTAGCACCATGCACTCTCTCATCCTGGTCAATGTGACAAAGCACCAGCTCGCATCCTTTGGGCTATTCCCTGAAGTGATGGGTTGGCAAGAGGAGAAGATCCTCAACTAGATGGACTGACAGTGATCATAGCAATGGGCCAGTCCTTGTTCACAGGGTCGCTGTGAGTTGTACTCCGCCACCCTGACCAACTGGAAGATGTATCTGTTCCTATTTCAAAAATAGATGACACAACAGAATGAAAAATTATATTAATCCACACTCAAATAGAATCTTGAAAGTGATTACAGATTCAAGTTGGATTCAGCAGATTACGTGGAAGGGACATCATGGCTAATATTATATCTATTTTGACTGAAAAGCAGAAAATACCAGAAAGTTGCTTTTACTGGGTAGACATTGTGTGGACTACAAAAATGGTTATTACCAAGAATAGCAATCCAGAATACTTAAATGCTCATGATGAACTTAGACATAAACCAAGGTTATTTGAACAAAGGATAATGCATGAGTTAAATTACAGAAAGGTCTGTAGCAAGGTTGTATCCTTTCATCACATATATTCAATTTACATGCTGAGCAGATTGGTTAAATTATAATCTATGAAGAACGAAACATCAGGGTTGGAGGATGGATCAATGATCTGTGATATGCAGACCTTGTTTGCCAAAGTGGAAAGAACTTGAAGCACTTACTTGAAGATCAAAGTACTTCAGTATGGATTCTAAATAGAAATCATCGGGTCTTAGTATCAAGAAAACAAAAATCCTCATCACTGGACCAATAATCACTATCATCATAATAAAGTTATTTCCTTTTTACTTGGATCCATAATCAGCATCTATGAAGTGGAGTCAAGCAATCAAATGGTCTATTGCATTGGATGTAATCTGCTGTCAAGGACTTCTTCACTTAATGAGATGGACTGACAGAGTAACTAGAGGAGTGAACCTGAATAATCCAGGTTTGTTTGGATGGCATAGATCCGAGGCTTTGGTAGCACCCAGGGCTGCCAAGGGTTGGAGTGGATTCAATGGAACCTAACAATGTTCATGGGTGGTGCAAGTGGTTAACCCCCAAAATGTGAGCGCTCAAGTCCAAACAGAGGTAATCTTGGAAGACTGAGGCTCCATTAAAAAAAAAAATTAGCCAATGAAATCCCTAAAAAGTAGTCACTTACATACTGAGTCACCATAAGCTGGAGTAAACACCATAGTAACAGAAACTAAGTAAATTCGTTTCCCCAGCTTCTTTATGGTAGTCTAATGAATAGAAGAAGTACAGGAGAAATTCTGACCCACTGGTTAATATATAGGTAACAAGGTTTAACTTCTACTAAGTGAATTTTTCATCAAAAGCTTAATCTTATATCCACAGTTGCATTTAGATTTGACCTAATTAGAGAGTTCACTGGACATTAACCTTGATGAGAATGAATGGTTGGCAGGTTTATAAAGAAAAAATTTCTCAAAATAAATAAATCAGACCAAGACTATTGTATCACTACAAATTTTATTCAGAAACCCATCTTTGTGTTTTTTGTTGTTTTTTAAAAAAAAATTCCCATTATGAACTGGTTTTGTCAATCAACTACAACACTTTCTAGCAGACATACGGTAAAAACGGCATGGCTCAGAATCGTCCAGATCTCTCCCGATCTCTGGATCGCCGCCTATCACGTTCCCGGCCACCTCCGCCGCCGCCGCCACCACCACCTCCTCCACGACCACGGTCTCTCGACCGGGACCGACGTTCACGAGACCGGGATCGAGACCTATGCCTGCACACGAACAGAGAGAAAACTGTTTGTACAAGGAGCAAAAAGGTGCAACACAAGGCTCATTACTGCTCAACACTTGATGACATGGGGGGAAAATGTCCACTAATAACAAGCCGTATTGGTATGACATGCCTCAACCTCAGAAGAACAGAAGGGACAAAAGGTGCATCTTAAAAGTGAAAAGGCATGCTATTTCCAAGATTGAAATTCAATACCACTATGAGTCAATTAAAAACACTTGCTGAAACTGTGACTGAATTTTCACAATTCTGAACCAAAGATTTCATTCAGTATGTCAGATTCTGCTTGGTGGTTCCCAGTAATAACAAAAAAAATTGAACTAAAAATAACGCAGCATTAAAATACACCCCCTACCCCTTAAGAGGAATAATACTCCATACCAAAGTACTTTTTGAATCTAACTGTATTCTGTAGCTTCCTTATCCGACTTCCAATGATTTCTCATTTTACTTTATTTCTTTGCTTTAGTTCTAGGATTGAGAAGAAAGATTTTGAGGCCTCTCCCTGCAAATGTTTGTGTTCAAGGAGGCTATATTTCTATTTCAAAATAAATACCATTTTAATCAGTACCTCTGGGGGGTGGGAGAGAGGGAAATTAAGCTTACAACTGACATATTCCAATACTCACTTCTTACGACGTCGGCCATACAACTCCCGACGCAATTCTCTAGAAATGGGCTTCAAATGCATGAAGTTGCAAAAGCCTCCTCGTGTACACTCTCTGTGGACAGAAATTAGTTCATTATCATGGGGCATGTATGACAATTTGTTCTTTCTCACACGCATGCACCCAAGCTTTCTTTGCTGCACCTCCAAGCTTCTTATTTTTATGTACCTTCCAAATAGAACTGACCCACAGCTGACGCTCCAGCGGGTTTTGAGAGGAAGAAAATCACACAGGAGACTGTTCATCTATCTCCCATGGAGTGGCTGGTGGAATCAAACCTCCTGCCCCTGGGTTGACAGTGTAATTTCTTATCATGAAGTCACCTTACTCACCCCATCTCATACTGGCGGCAACAGGCTTCTCTAAAGTCAGTCACAGGGGAGAGCTCTGCATGAATCGGTTGTCCATTAAACCAGCGGTTATTTAAGTCAATCACAGCCTTTTCTGCATCTTCTTCACGACGAAACTAAAAAGACAATACAAAAATGCTTGCTACTCACACTTTAACTACTAATAATTTCAACTACTTATCCAAGTATATATGTGCTTGGTTGCATATGATTTGTGCTCAAAGTCAATATTAAGAACCAGATAGCTTTATTTACAATTCACTATCAACTGCAACTAGCCCTTACTCAGTGTTGGCCAGTCATTACACAAAGCTCTACTTGTAGCCTTACTCTTACCTTGACGTACACATTTCCAACTAGATGGTCTCCAAGGTTATCACAGACGTTCATCTCTTCAACCTCTCCATACTTTTCCTCCATTTCTGTGAAAACTTCCTAAAGAAAGGAAAACAGGTTTAAGGACCTGGATAATTTAAACACAAATGTGTAATGGAACATAAACTCATGTTCAATTAAAAAACCTTGATTCTTTCCAAACACAAGTGAAAGCTCTATCAGTGTCAAAGAGTATCTTACCTCAAAAAATTCATCATAGTGTTCCTGCATCTCCACATCGCTCACGGCACCTGGAAACAACAGAAATCTTGTTGGTCAGAACATGGAGGAAGAACAATGCTTCTGTGCTAAAATTCAAACTGCTATAATTAACTCATATTATCTAAAGAGAAAACACAACAAAGTTTCACTCTACTGGAGCACTGAAGATACTGCAATACCACCTACTTGTTAAAATCTTAAAAGTGTGGTAAGATTTTAAAATTCCCCTCAAAACAGTCTCAATTTTGGCCATATCAGATAGTGAAACCCAGCAAGTTTTAATCAGCATCAAAGGGCCACATTAAGTGTGAGTCAAAAGCTGACTCTCAAAAATACTTCAAAAGGAAGTATTCTTTAAGTTTTAGTATAAGAGCTAAGTAATCACAATTTCTTTTTTTTCTTTATTAAGGTGAAGGTTCAAATCAAGGCCAGTGACTAAAAGCTATGTTCCTAGCCAGTTTCTTTTACAGATTAGAAGCCACACATAATGCTGTAAAATTCTTTCTGATGCGATTAAAACCCAAACAAGAAACTCAGTAGGGCATAATTACCAGGCACCATTTACAGTATATTTAGGATGCCCCTGTGTAAAGGGAAAGTTACAGTGCTTTGTTGAAGCAAGCATTCTTGTTTTATATTCCAAAATTATCTTCATCAAATTTCTTCTTCTTTGTAGTCAACATGTGAAATCAAGTCCATGGCTTTAGTCAATTTTATAAAATTTCCTTTTTATACTCATTAACATTTTTACTAAATTTTACCATTCAAATCCTAGAGCCTTCTTAACATATATCTGAGGAATAACAAAGTAGGTATGCCTATAAGCTGATGTTCCAAATACTGGGCCAACCCAGTCGCACCATGTTTTATCTTCCACAGCCCAGACTCCTGGATGTGACTGAAGGCTCTGGGGTTAAGGAGTCTGAATTCTTATGGAATAGTCTACCTACGAGGGCTTCTTGTATAATGTTGACGCTATCTTTGAGCAACTATACCACAGTTAACTTTGAAGACCCTTTCAGTCTTTGAGCTGAAACTCTTGAGCAACTTTCAATCAACTGAAACCTATTCAGCCTTAAAAAGAGTTCTGTATTGGGCTGCTAACTGAAAGGTCAATGGTTTCAATCTACCAGATGCTCAAAGGGAGAAAGAGGTAATTTATTCCCTTAAAGATTTATAGCCTTGGAACCCAATGCAGAGTTACGAGTTGGAAATGATTGACAGCAGTGAGTTTGGTTTTGGATTAAAAACTACTGGCAGGGGGTGGGGTGCTGTTTTTGACACATTTTAGTTTTGTGTTGTTTTTTTTTTTTAATTTCCAAGAATCCAGACGCCTTTTAAACCTGACCCTTACCGGCTGTATTAAATACAACTCATTGCTGACCAACAGTATGCCCAAATTTTAACGCTATCACTAATACCTCTTTTTCCTTTAGTAGAAATCAAGTTCTAAACATGGAAAAAAGTGAAGCAAATTCCCAAGGGCAAATTTTAATGTTTAAATCCACTTCCAGAAAGTTACTATGTGAAAGAGACTTGGTAGGCAAGTATATTTTTGCCTCAAATTTTGGAAATCAATCACAATGATTTGAAAGGCAAATACAATAAAGACTAAACAAAAACAATTTTCTTAGAGAAATATCCTTAAATTGGGATTCTTATTTACAATTAAGCATATAAATCTAATTCTTTAAACACACAAAAGGCAATGTTAAAAAGAGAAAATGATTTTAGGAATTTGAATCTAGCTGGATAAAATCTTATCCAAGGGTATTATGTCAGATATTTCGGTTCATCAGCTTATGCTGATTTTCTTTCTAAATTGTAGTAAAACAATTTTGCTTGATCCCAGAATTTATATAGTAACAGCTAAATTTTTATTTTGTAGCACAAGAAAAACAAGAGTATTATAAACTGCAAATAAAGACACAAAGAAAACTAACACACAGTAAATAATACATACACAGTCCCCAAGTAAAACAATAAGGGCAAAAAAGTTATTACTTAGTTGCCTACTTTTCATTTCATTTTTGCCTCTGAGTACTGTTAGAAAAATTATTTGAGTAATTCCATATTTAAACATTTCCCTCCACCTACTGATCTTATTTCTGTAAAGAATAAACAAGAACATAAAATGCCCCCAAACTAGGTATTTTAAACCAAGGGTTACCAAATAATCCTGCTGTCATCAAATTTTGGGAAAGAAATTAATTCTACAGGGCTCTGGTAGCCTAGTGGTAAGGAATTGCACTGCCACCCAGAAATACTTGGTTCAAATTCACCAGCAGCTCTGCAGAAGAAAGACAGGCAATCTGCTCTTCTATCATTTACAGGCTCTGAAAACACACTAGAGAATCAGCTATGGGTCAACTCCAATTTGAGAGTACACAACAACAACCATCAAGTAAGGAAAAAAATGCTTGGATAGGCATGGCACTACCAAGAAAAAGTTGGCTGTTGAAATGTTCTTGCCTCACCCAGTGGCCTTTCGGGATGGGAGAAAGCCTGACAATTTGCCCATGTAAAGATTACAGTTGAGAAAACTCTACAGGAGAGACCTACTGTCATAAAGTCATTATTGTCAGTCATCTCAATGCACTTGACAACTGCCAAGTAATTAATATCAAGAGATATTCAGCAGGAAAAATAAGGAAACCCTGCCCTTAAGAATGTCTGTGTACGTGTGTGCGATGATGCTTATCTTTCCCAGTCTCTGGGCCAGCTTGAGTGCCAGTGGCCACAGGGGCCATTTTACCTTAGAAACTGAGGATGCATTCAATTTAGGTACCTTCTAATAGGATCTGTATTAATTTTTATTGCTTTATAACAAATAGGTATATGAGACACACCCATCTTTTGGATTTGGACCGGTTGATGGTTATAATCCAGGTGATTTATTTTCATATACTCACAGAGGAATCAATTCTAAAAATTAAAATTTTTAAACTCGCCAATGATTGCAATCTATAGTCTGTTTTCTAAGAAATTACTTTTCAATTGATCTAATAGCCACAAGCTACATCTGCTCTTTGCCCACACAGAAAAAATTGGGTAATGACTAATAAATGCCCAATTTAGACTTACTTCCCTATCAAGTACTCTACATTTCTGAAGTGCAGTAAACAAAATCCTAAAGCTGGAGAAGTTAGTTTTCTAAAATAAACAAACAAACAAACAAACAAAATGGTGTGCTCTGTCAGGGTATAGGGCTGCTGGTGAGGAAAATTCATGGGCAATGTAACTTGGAGGACCCTCTTTAAGGAAAAAATAGAACAAGGCTCTTAAAGTGTGACTTCCAAAGCAGTGTTTAATCTGAAAAATAATTTCAAAACAACAGAAGAATATTAAAGTGAAACTAACTTTCAAATCCTGTCTTTCTTAAGGAGGAAGAGCAACTCCAAGTCTATTCTATAATGATGGCCACAGTAAAAGAAGAGCCATGGCAGCACCAAACTTTGAAAGGGCATGTTTTCAAGTTCATTATTTTTTCCCTTTTAAACATAAGTGGGGATGGGAGATCAAACACCAGAGGTTTTCAAGGGAAAAGTGGGAAGTGGTGTAAATAGGACAAAAGCTTGCTATTTTTAACACAACGTGGTCCTTTACACTACAACGCAGACCAGATTGAGTTGACACTGAGCTCTGACACGCAAGTCCAGGGAACCAGGGAAGGAACTTGTAAGAACTTACAGCGCAAACCGTCAGCAGACTGGGAAGAGTTTTGAGGGTTACGGTAAATGTTCAAGAGGGCAATAGTCTGAAATACAAAACGCAACAACTTTATATTATGGAAAATTAAATTTAAACACTTCACCGGTCTACTTTGTCGATCGCTTCAGATAAGATTCAGTGCTGAAAAGAGAGCAAGTTATTGTTTTTGGAAGCAGAGATGTTGTCTCTTAGTTGATGGCTGTCTTGAAATACCCTAACACTGCACTATAACAGAGATCTCATAATATGCTTATATTGTATTTCAGTTTAACGTAAAACACTGCAATTCACAATCCTAACCCAATTAGGAGTGCCAACAAATCACTCTTAGATATTAGAAAATTTCTCATGAATAACTGAGAAAGAAGACCAACCGTCTACAGACAGTTGATAAAACACTATATTGGTGAAATACAATAATCACGTATCATGAAATCTCCACTTCCTAGAGAGAAAAAAATTAATGGTGAAATAAAACCCACATTTATTGGGTAACTTACCTTTTTGATTCCTAAATATTCCTAAGACTTAAAAATTTTACAGAAAGAACTTAATAAATGCCAGGGATTCTGTCACTGTAAAGACCAATGACTGGCTAATCACGTTAAAGAATATTTCACATCAGCGGACCACCTCCTATTTTACAAATGCCAATCAAAGGAAGAGGCCCGACTAGTGAACTTCCCCAGAAAAGCCTGTGAACACTGCCAAGTACCAAGTTCTTGCTGTGTGCGCCAAGGAGTTCCATCACCTTGTCCTGTTTGCAACAGCTCTATGTCAGCAGCTCAGAAGACAACATGGTCTGTCTCAATTAAGAGTGGGCTCTTTAACATCATTCTCTTTAAAAAATTTCTCCAACTGTGGGACTTACAGTGTGAGCCGTCAGCCGTCTGTGCACTGTTTTGGGGATTACGATAGATGTTTTGAATCAAGATGGTCTGCGGGGAAAAAAAAATAAAAAGGGGAATTCTACTGGCTGCTGTGCATATATTAGACAATTGCAAAGAGACAACTTGTTTGCAAATGGCTAAACGTTTGTGTGGTTTTTTTCCCGCAAGTCAGCCATGTGTCTTCTGAAGAGTCCACCAAAACCATCATATTATGAAAACAGAGTTTGAACAGTGACTTAGGTCAAGTCAGCCAGCAACCAGGAAGAAATTAAAATTGCTATTTTGAGAAGTCCCACATTGTTAATATTAAAAGTGTTTCAATACAAGATAAAGAATGAGAACACTTACATTTTTTTGGTACTTCAAGCTACAGAGACAACAGTATGTCTAAAAATTCACATTGTATAATCATATTCTTCATACAAAGTCATTTTAAAAACCAAAGGCATAATTCACCTTATGCAATACACTGATGTTCTCTGGTCTCTTACAAAACAAGCGTATCAAACAGGTCTCTGAACTTTTGACTGGATACCTGACTGTCATAATTACACTTTCTTAGTGGGATCTCTGTTTACATAATACAATAGCTTAAAGTATTTGCCTTTTCTGATCCTTTTCTTAAGAAAAAAACATCCTGTTAGCCTTTGTGCTTTAAACTGGATCAGGCGGACTTTAAACCTTACAGTACAGTTCTTCTTAAAATCAAGTCTGAAAAAACAAACCACGTTTAAGTTAGTAAGCTAATATATTACATTAATCTTAAATGTCCATATCATCTTAAGAAGCTTAAAATAAAAAAAACACCAAAAACCAACCAACCTCACATGGAAATATGCCAGACACTTAAAAGCTGAATCAGTAACTGTATGATTGAGAAAAAGAAATGCTTATTCCCCCTAAAAGGTGTAAAAACCAGTTCTTTGTGTGGTTTTACAAAATCAGTTAGTGCAATTCCTACCTCTGTTGTAAAGTAGGCAGCTATGAGAGGAGAGCTACTCCATCAAATGTTGGCTAACTAGAAACTCCCCCAGGTAGAGTGTAGTGGGCTACATACTTCAACTTACAGGAAAAATATATTCTTATCTTGGGATCTATCGCCCATTTGGTCTTTCCCTCTCCCAAGCAACTCCTTAGAGCCAACTTCATTCACAGAATGATTAACTGGAGTCACTAAAGGATGACAATCCTGATGAGAAGGAATTTCACTTAAAGTTCCAGTACAATTAGGGGAGGGTAGCTAGGATTACATAAAACCAACTAACTCACAGAGCAAATAAAAATAAAATGCTAAAGTAACATGCGTATTGATCCCATCAATGGTTTTGACAGACTTCTCAATCTATTAAAAAGCCAAGCACTCAATCTATTAAAAAGCCAAATTCTAGTTATACTGTGTGGTAATCAAAAGTAACTGGGGAGTGTATCTATGGGCCTAAATTGGGTATTACCAACATCTTCCTTCTAACTTACATCCAATCATTTAGTTTTCCTACATACTTAAAAGGCACAAAAAATACTTATTTTGGTAAAACAGGAAGTATACTCAAAGGCAAAATCCAGCTTGTTCCAAAAGATACAGACAAGAACCAAATACTGAGATTTTAAGGTGAGCTACAAGGCGCTCCCCAAACTTCAGCTCAGAAAAAGTTAAAAGCAGATTTGCAAATTCTTAAGAGTCTACAAACTTTTGGAACTTTCTGTTGCAAGAGGTACTTTAACCTTTTAATCAATGATCATTAGAATGTAAACCACTGTCATTATTTTAATGAGCAGAGGATTAAAATCACATTTTTTTGAGTGGCCTGAAGTCAGCAGATGTAAGCCCAAGATAATGGGCATCTTTTAATTGAGTGAATATATATGTTATGATTAAAGTTCCTAGTTTAAAGTAATTACCTATCTTTTAATATTAAACTATTCTTGTAAAAGAAACGACAACCTCCTGATTCTTTAACATGGATCTCAGAGGGGGGACACATCCAACAGTACAGACCACTCTCACCCTCAGTCCTGAGAGCACAACATGATGGGTCTGGTGAAAACCACACAAGCACCTCTTTTAAGGAGGGCATATTACCTCTGTTGAGACCAGAAGGCCATTCTGCATCTACGTCTGGGAAAGAGCCTGAATAAGCCAGCTTGGTCACTAGCACACTTAGGCTATTTAAAAGAGGTATTTATCAGGGCAGTTAATACCAGTTATCACCAATGCACAAACATTAAGAACCACGCCAACTAATGCAGTACTTTTTAAAGTTTTTCTCATTACGGCAACAAAGCATAGTGCTCTCGAATCTTCTAGGTGGACTAGAGTTGGTTTGTTAATTTTCTGGCCAGAAGGGCTTAGGAAGTGAAGAAAAAGTTCACCTGCCTCATATATACTTAACAAAAACAACTATTCACTGATGAACTCTAATGGAAAATTAAACAACTAAAGAGAGGAAACAAAATACCAAAAAAAAAAAAAATTAAAAACCCCAAACTTAGCAACATGGAAATTAACAACTGCCTCAAAAACCACGTTATGATACTTTACATGGAAACAGAAAGAAAAAAAAAAAGAAAAAACAAACAAACCTGGCTAAAGGTCGGTTTATTGTGCAACCGAGAGCATCTGTCTCCATGACGGCATGCTCCAATTTTGAAATAAAATGAACAGTTGACTCTGTAAGGGAAAATAAGAGCTGATTATTTTGCTGAGAAAATACAGAAGCAGATGGAAATGTCAATAACATAATATGTCCTAGCAAACGTCTTTTACCTCATAAAACAGTATTTTGGTGGTATGCACCATCCTCTCCTCGCTAGTGTTTTAGCATCACTTAAATTTAATTTCCATTTCTCGAAACATGTTACCATTTCCAGGAAAAAAAAAAACACCAACCCATTCTAAATCTTTCAACTTCAACATACACTGTCTGCTCTGTTCTATTTTCTCATAAATGGAGTGTTAAATTAGCCTAAAACGAAATTTCATCCAATATATCTTTCTCATCTCTCACTATGATCCCCTCTTTTAGACCCTAGAATGAGGAGTGAAGATTCCAGACTATTTGCTGCCTGGGCTTGGACACAGCCCCTACCTCTGTGGGTCTCAGATGCCATCTGTAAAATGAGAAAATGCCAACTTGGCATTGTTTCAAGAATCAGATATAATGGGCGTGTGCTTCACACACAGTGCCCATTAAATGCTATTACTATCTTAAAAAAAAAAAAAAGAAAGAAAAGAAAAAGGTTCATGTTCATTCACCCATATCAGACCAGTAGGAAATTTCCAAAACAGATCTGAACTAAATAACTCCTGGTTTCAGGATAAACAACTGTCCTTATGCACACACAAGCTCACTGACTTCTTATTTAAACCAAAAAAATTCTTAATTCATTGCCACTGAGTTAATATGGCTCTAGCTGAGCCTTCAGTGAGTTTTCAAAAGCTGTGATCACACATGGAGACTGCCTATCTTTCTCCACTAATTACTGTTGTTAGGTATCATAGAGTTGGAACCAACTCATGACTGATCCTCCAGCAGGTTTTTAGAGGTAGTAAACAGTGAGGGGGAAACTCTCCCATGTTGCAGCTGGTAGATTTGAACTGCATGTCTTTAGGTTAGTAGTACAACTCCTTACCACTGAACCACCAGAACCCCTCACTAACTCCTAACAATTCTATTATGACAGAAAAGAACAGATTCACAGGTATTACAAGACGAAAATCTTCGTGGAAACAAGACTGATACATTTTCCCCTGCCTAATAGCTAGTGGGTTTAACTTCTGGGTTAGCAGTTGAGTGCTTAACCACTTGTGTCACCAGGGATCCTTCCTTCAACTATCAATGTTGTTAGGCACTGAGAAGACTAAGACTCATATCAACTCTCTAACAACAGATCTGCCTCTTGCCCTTTCTTGTGTTATCATCACTGATATACTAGAGCCCACTGCTATAGCCACTGTGTAGATTCATTTTGTTGAGGGTCTTCCTCTCCTTCACTGACCTTCCACTTTTTCAAGCATAATTTCTTTCCAAAGACTGGCCTCTCTTAACAACATGCCCAAAATATAAGACAAAGCTTTACCATTCTTGCCTCTAAGGGAACACGCTGGTTGCACTTTCTCCAAGATATATCATGAGCCCTGTCTTAGAAGCTTTAAATGCCTCAACTATGCAGAACAAATAAAAGCAATCAATCAAGCCACCATGGCAGTGGTTATCAGATAGTTTTGCAGGTCTGTGAATTAGAAAACCACATGAGATGGATCTCATTAAAGATTTAACTTATGTAGGTAGAAAGGTTACCCTGCAATTAAGACTCCCACAAAGACTCCCAAGCCTTGACTTATTAGGTAGCAAAACAGATGGGAAAGCTTAATTTCTCAGAATAGAAAATTAATATATAAAGTTTTAAACTTATCTTACAGTTCTTACTTTGTATTATGGAACTTGACTAACAATAATACCTTATCTTTAGAATGTTACCTAAAGTGAAGAGCAAGCTCATTTTCTCTATTAATGAAATTAGGGAGAGGAAAAAGTTTACATGTACGAACATCTTCAGTTTTCAGGAGTTGATCTTGTTTCTTGGAAGCTAAAATCCATACCTTCTTGAAATAAGACAGAAGAAAGCTATATTGGAAAGCTAACTTTTCTGACTGTTTATTAAAACATTTAAGTTTATAAAAAAGATAAAATTCACTATGATAAAGTATTACAGAATAAAAAAAAAAATCCACACATTCCAAATAAAAATATTTCTTTTACAGGAGACACCCTGGAAGAGTAACAAAATTCCTGGAATGAATCTCAAAATTTACAGAGATACCAAAAACACCAGATTATCTTTTAAAAGAGCAAGAAATAAAGCCATGGGACAAGAGTCAGAGCAATACATGTAAGCTAAGTGGTGAAATTAAGGGTGCCGTTCCTCAAAGCAGGACCACATTTTACTCATCTCTGAGTATCCCCAAAGTGTATACAGTTGGTAGACTCAACGTTTCTGGACTGCTGATTTTGCTAACCATACAACCCCTTCTTCCAAACAATTGAGGAGATTCTATCACATGTAAATATGTATTACAAAGAAGAAATCATCCTGGGGAGAAAAAATAGTATCTGAAAAAAAAGTTATTAAAAATATAATGAATGACTAAAGTCTTACCATTAAAAATACTTTCATTTGCTTTTGAGAACTCCGAAAAATCTCAAGGCAGTAACTAAACCAAATGCTTAGTATTTAGTTTTCCAAAGTAAGAATTACTCTTTTAAACTGTCTGAAGATATTCCCTGTAGCCTAAACGTCATCCACCCAAGGGAAAGGAACACACGTTAAGAGGAAATTACTTAGTATACGATTAGAAAACTTGGGGGGCGGGGGGGGAATCTTATGCACGCAAAAGTGTTAAAAGCAAGCATTAGCTTTTATCTGGTAGTTAACAGATTTCCAATGACACAAAAGAGTCACATCCAAAAGCGCCCATCAAAGGCCTTATCATCGCTAAAAAGTGCAAAATAACTTGGGTGTTTTAAGTGGAACACTTCCAACTACTACGATCTCTAATTATTTAGCGACTTAATAATGGCCATCTTTGCCCTACGAAACATTGTAAAATAGAAATTGTTCAAAACTGCCTTAATATTTTTTTTTTTAATTTTTGTGTGGGTGTACCGTCACAAAGCTAACTTCGTTACAGCTTAAAGCAACTTAAGAGTGCTTGCAAACACGGAGACCAGGGTCGCCTAAAAACAAAACAGGCAGGAGGTGATCAGACGTGGGAGAGGCTTCGCCAGGGTTGAAAAGGCGCGGCGACCTAGGAGTTGCCTCAGCGCCTCAACTCCCACCCAACCGCACCGGAGCACCCAGAGCAGCCCAAGCTGCCCTGAGGGCGGACGCGCCGGGGCGGAACGTTGGCGCCACGGTCCCAGCTTCCCGTCGGTCACTCCTGAGGACTCTATTCATCCTCCTAAGAGACCCCAAAACGCTGTGTATGCCCGGAAAGTGCGCTCTGGGCCAGGAGGGCCGCCGCCACTTCCCGCCGTCCGTTCCCCTCCCCCCCCACCCAGCCACACCGCCTCATCCTCCCGCCGCCGCCTTCCGTGGCTTCCTCAACCAGCTTGAGCCCTGCCTCGGCGCCCCGGAAGCCCCGCTCGCCCGTTCCCCGCCGCCTCCTCGGCCCCAGATATCTGGTTGCTTTCACTCACTTGTCTTTCTCAGTGCCGAAAATGGAGGCCAAGTACTCCGCCATTTCCCACCATTCGACGCTGACACCGCTGGCGATGCCAATGCCGCCGACACGGCTCGACGCTTAAGGCTACGTCACTGGAAGCGACGACGCTCTCCCCGCCCCCTACGACATGACGTAGCTGCCCAATCAATGGGCGCGATGTCTGTGTGTGCGGGCCAGTGGCGCGCGTAGGCCTGTCTCGCGTGCCGTGCGCACCCAGCCTGACTTACTGCGCTGTTACGCTCTTTGGGCCCTGGATAGTGCTGGCTCGCTGCGTGGAAGCGCTTCACGTGGGATCGGGCCTAGTGGGTCAGGCCGGAGCACTCACACAAGGAGGTTTTAAACCGGTCTCCACGGAAACCCAGCTCCTTGCTGAGCGTACTCAGAAATAAAGTTGCCTTTCCTGCGCCCTTTCTGTCCGGAATTCCCTCCACCCCGTAACTTTGCTCCCGTTTAAGGACCTTTTATCTCGCTCCTAGCTCCTGCCTCTGCAGAGTTGAGCCGCGGCAACCCCTTTCTGTCCCAGAAGAAAGGGGAACGCTTCATTTAGACTTGAAGTAATAAACACGGTTTGAAAATATTTTTAATTACTGTTAAAGAATCAGGAGTGACATACACTTCGTAAACAACATGCCTCCGGAAACTCTAAGAACATATATAAATATCGATAGTTGTAGAGGGATTTCAGGTCTTTTGTTCGTAGGGTCGCTATGAATCTTCAACAGCAACATAGATTTAAGTATCCTAGAGTGTGCTGCTAAGAGACTTAAGCCGACGGGTTGCCTGAGTTTGAGGCTTTTTTTCTTTCTTACAGGCCTTTAGGCAAAAATATGGCTCATTGGCTATGGAATAAAAATATGGATAAAGTTCTGAGATTGGGTTAAATTGAGGGTCCTCAAGATACTAACACCATTTCTTCAATTCGAAGATGCGGAAGTGAGGAAATGGAAACAATGTGGGCCATTTCAAAGTCAGAAGAGGCACAAGACTATGGTCTTCAAGTTTTTAAATTTAGGAGGAGGTGAAGTAGTTTAGGAGCACCAGGAGAGGCTGGAGGAGCCAGCCATAGTCCAGCGAGTTGGGATTCTCAAGTAGGAGAAAGAACCCTCCCATCTTGCATCTCTGTATGTTTCTGACAACAATTGATTTCCTCTTGTCCTGTGTTTTCACTTTGAGCTGTGGTGGTGGAGAATAGTATAGAATATCTCATGGATTGCCAAAAGAACAGGATACAACCAGGGTGCTTCTTGGAAGCAAGGATGACTAAGCTTTGTCTCACATACGTGGGCATTTTCCTTGGAGGGAGACATCATGCTTGGAAAGATGTTAGGTCAGCAAAAGAGGGGAAGACCCTGGAGGAGATGGGTTGACAGCTACTGCAGCAAGGGCTGAAGTGTGTCAGAGATTATAAGGGTGGCACAGGATAAAACTTGACACATAACAACGTAATAAGTAAAACAACACTGCCCCCCCCAAACACTTTTCAAAACTTATTGTTGTCAAGTCATAACCAACTCGTAACTAACCATTGAATTTTCAGGAGGCTGACTGTGGGAAGCCGAATATAAAATTTAATTTTAATAATAAAACAAATGCTATGACATGATAGGAGGGAGGCTGATACAAGCTATAATTTACCCTGTAGCACTAAGGCAGCCCTTAAATGTTTACAGCGGTAGGCATTAAGACAATCCTTAAGAGTCTACATAATGCCATCTTTTGAAGAGTGGAATTGGTATTTGTATTGAGATTGCATTGAATGTGTAAACTGCCTTTGGTAGTGTTGTCATTTTCACAATATTGAGTCTTCCTATCCTTGAGCAAGGAATATTCTTTCATTTCTCAAGGTCTCTTTTTGTTTCTTATAGTAATGTTTTGTAATTTTCTTTGAACAGATCCTTTGTGCTTCTGGTTAGATTTACTCCCAACTATTTAATCTTGTGATTAGCTATTGTGAAAGGTATTGTTTTTCTTAGCTCCAGCTCTATATTCTCTTTGTCACTGCAGAGAAATCCAGCTGATTTTTGTATGTTGATCTTGTATCGTGCTACTTTGCTGAATTGATCAACTATGTCCAGTCATTTTCTTCCTGAGTCTTTAGGGTTTTCTAAGTGTACTATCATATTATCTGTATAGAGAGATAATTTTACCTCCTCTTTGCCAATTTAGATACCTCTTATTTCCTTCTCTTATTGCTATCACCAAGACTTCCAATACAACATCGAAAAAGAGAGGTGATAGTGGGCATGCTTGCCTAGTTCCTGTTTTTAAAGGGAATGCCTTGAATCTCTCCATTGAGAATAATGTTGGCTCTAGGGTTTGCATATATACTTTTTACTATGTTGAAGAAATTCCCCTCTAATCCTGTTTTGTTGAGTGTTTTAATCAGGAAAGGCTGTTGGATTTTGTCAAAGGCCTTTTCTTCAACGAGAAAGAAAAGGCAATCTCCAATTTCATTGGAATGGAAAGAGGTCCTGAATAAACAAAGAACTCCTTAAAAAGAGAAATTAGGAGGCATCTCACTCCCTGATTTAAAATCCTACCACACTGCCATGGTGGTCAAGACAGCATGGAACTGGTACAATGACAGACACATAAATCAATGGAATAGAATTAAGAATCCAAAAATCAGCCCATTTACTTATGGTTAACTGATTTTTGACATGGAGATGAAATTAGTTAAATGGGGAAACGAAAGCCTTTTTAATAAATGGTGCTGGCAAAATTGGAAAACTCTGCAGAAAACTCAAGCAAAATCCCACACCTCACTCCATACACAAAAACCAACTCAAAGTGGATCATAGACCTAGGACTAAAACCAAGGACTGTAAACTTCAGTAAAGAAAAGCTTCGAAGAACTCTAGAAGTCCTACTCTACAACGTAAACAGTCTTCCAAGCATTCTGAAAAATCTACAACCAGGAGAGGATAAAATAGATGAATGGGACCTTCTAAAAGTCAAATTCCTGTTGTTGTTGTTGTTATGTGCCGTCGAGTCATTTGCAACTCTTAAAGACCCTATGTACAACAGCCCTAAACCCTGCTCTATCCTGTGCCAATCACACCTCTGACACACCAATCCCGATTACCCCAGTCACTGAATCAATCCATCTCATAGAGGGTGTTTCCCTCTTGCGCCGTGTCTCCACCCTCCCAAGCATGATGTCCCTCTCCAAGGACCTGTACCTCCTTGCAACATGCCCAAAGTATGTCAGATGAAGCCCCAGAATCCTTGCCTCCAAGGAGTTGCTTGGTTTAATCCTCTCCAGGATGAATCTGTTTGTTTTCTTGGCAGTCCATGGTACATTCAGTACTCTTCTCCAGCACCACAGCTCAAAGGCATCAATTCTTCTTCTGTCCTCCCTAGTCATTGTCCAACTCTCCGATGCATAACAAGTGATTGCAAAGACCATGGCCTGTATCAAGCGCACCTTAGTCTCCAGAGAGACACCGTTGCTCTTGAATACTTGAGAGAGGTCCCTAACAGCCGACTTTCCTATCGCAATATGTTTTTTGGTTTCCTGGCTGCTGGGGCCAAGAGTGTTGACCGTGGAGCCGAGCAAACTGAAGCTGTGAACAATCTCAATCTCTTTGCCATCCATCCTGATGCTACCAATTGGTCCAGTGGTGAGAATCTTTGTCTTCTTGACATTGAGCCTCAGTCCATACTGAAGGCTGCAGTCCTGTACACATCCAAAAATTTCTCCAACAGGGTAAAAAGGGAAGCCACAGACTGGGAAAAAAATATTTGGTAATGACATGTCAGATAAGGGACTTATATCTAGAATTTATAAAATACTTGAGCATCACAACAAGATAAAGGTAAACAACCCAATTGAAAAATGGGCACAGGATATGAACAGACACTTCACCAAAGAAGACATTCAGATGGCTAACAAGCACATGAAGAAATGTTCAAAATCCCTAGCTCTAAGAGAGATGCAAATCAAAACAACTATGAGATGACATCTTACCCCAGTAAGAACAGCAACACTCAACGGAACAGCAAACATCAAATGCTAGTGAGGTTGTGGAGAAACTGGAACCCTTATACACTGTTGGTGGGAGTGTAAAATGGTGCAACCACTATGGAAGACTGTGTGGCGCTTTCTCAAAAAATTTCAAATAGAAATACCATTTGACTCAGCAGTTCCACTACTGGGAATATACCCCAAAGAAACCATAACTGCCACCCAAGCAGATCTATGCAAATACATGTTTATTGAGGCTTTGTTCACAATTACAAAGAGTTGGAAGCAACCTAAGTGCCCACCAACAAACGAATGGATAGAGAAGCTGTGGTATATTCACACAATGGAATCCTATGCTGCATTGAAAAACAAGAAACGCAAGAAATATTATACAAAATGGATGACCCTGGATGACATTATGCTGAGTGAAATATCTCAGTCACAAAAGGACAAATACTGCATAGTGCCACTGTTGTAAAACAGGACTGACATCGGGGTTGGAGGGAGACTTAGAAAGATGGGATAAATTATGTATATTGCATTGAAACAGATGAGGGAGAAAACTGTGTAAAAGGGTATATAATTAGGTATTATTGTCATGACAGGAGTCCAGAATGAAGGCTGCATAGTGGAGTGGACATGGAGGGAGGGATTGTATAACAATGAAATAATTTTTCTTTTACTTTTCAAAGAGAAGAGCAAACTGGGGGCGAGGAGGGAGGTTGGCCAGGGGGGGAAAGTGCAATAATGAATGGAAATCCAAGGTCTCTATAAACTTTCATTAAAATTAATTAAGAAAAAAAATTTTAAAGGGGTCTACATAATTCTTATTTGTATTTACTGAATCCGTCCCTCCTAAGTATAAGGTAAACAATAGAGAAGAATTTGGCCTTATTTACAAAAGACTTCCCCATGATCCTTTTTTTTTTGTTTACTACTCCCTTGTGATTTTTCTTAATCTTCCTGATGATTCTCAGTAAATACCCAGAAATGCATAGCATGGGGGCTGCAGTTCTCCCAGCTGTTATCTCCCTATCTTCATGCTTTCTGGCTTGACCTCCATTCCTGTGTGTTCCTGTCTC